GCATACAAGCAATATACTTACCACTTTGGAATAGTATGAACTTCATCAACTACCAATAATACAATCTTATCACCATGATGTTGATGTAGCATATCTATGAAGGTGTACTTTGTTCCTCTGGGGTACCATATATATAGGTTGGCAACTTTCTATCAATCTGGATAACTCTGGCTATTTTTGCACTAAATCCCAACAAAGTCAAACTGTCTATCTGGAAGAATTACCAATTAATCAATCACCAAGATATTGAAATAATAACAGGAAGTATAGATTTTGAAATGAGATGAACCAGTCAAATTAAACAATTTCCAGTGACAGTACTGTTGTGCAAGTAAATTACCATTTATAAAATAAAACATTTAGAGGATAGAGGGACTGTGACTTGGTCTTTCATTAATGAGACAAGAGGCGATAATATTAAAACACAACCTCCTTGTATCCTTGTTAAAGTGACTAACATGAGTGGTAGGCGACTGACTAACTATGCCGATCCTACTTTAGGTCATTTGTTATTATCCAAGAAACGTTTCGAGCACCTGTGAGTACCGTAAAATCTGTATTAGAAGCCGCATCCCTAATAGAAGTCGCATCCATTCTTTTTGAATAATTGAGAACCAAAAATTCGTCATTTCTCATATGTGTAGATGCTCTAATAGAAGCCTCATCCCCTCTATTGCATTGTACCATTTTAATAGAAGCCGCGGTTTCTAATACAGATTTTACAGTAACAATGGTGTTTTCATTTATATCCACACGAGTAAGCATTTTCGCGTATATAAATATTGTTACTTGACTAAACGGCCACCAAAACCCGACAATCATAATAGGAAACATGTCATATTCAACAAATACTCACCTCGTGGTCAATTATTTGTTCGAGTTTCTCGCTCGATTGGCCGGTAAACGCCGCCATTTTTAATTTTTTTTTGTGATCACTTCATGCGCACGCGCAAAGTGCATCACCATGTTTTCGTAAGGCGCTCTGTGATTGGTTGACTAATCCCGTCAGCGGAGAGGTACTTGAACGCGACTTGTATAGGTAGTTGGTCCGATCCTTGTGGGCTTTCGCGATTACCAAAACTTAAAAAAATACCAGCAAATAAATTTAAAAAAAAATAATAGATTATATGAAAAAAATATGAATGATATTATTTTAACAAAAAAAAAAAAAAGCCCAAACTAGGATCTTATTTTAATCAGATTGATTTGCACTGTGACTGAGCCCATTAATATTCATTGTCTAATTAATATTCATATAGCTCATTAATATTCATGATCAACCCGCACTCCAATTAGGCTCGCAAGATCCCTGATATGGAAAATGTAATGTTAATCAGATTCATTTGTTCACAATCACCATGGGAACCAAATACAGTTTATTATAGAATTACAAATCTCAATCAATACATTAGAAAAGGAAATTCTGTACTACTTATACCGTAGCACACACCATAATGTACTTTGAAATTTTTGGTATATGACAATTCTAATAGAGCAAATATGGTACTCCAACTAAGTCAACTGGTTCTCAAGATTGATTTAAAATCTTAAAATATGAAAATATCACAGTATGTATGCACATGAAACGATAACCTTCAATATTAAATGATATGCCTTCTTACATACCTGATCGATGGCAGTTTGTGGAAGAAAGCTTTCCATTTTGTCCAAGAAATGTCTGACTAATAATTTCAAAGACTGCATGAATTCAGATCCGTATTCCTCATTCAGGTCCCTTTTAACATAGAACTGTTTACGTCTATTAGCCAACAGTTCCACAATGAATAACCTGAAGCTCTGTTGTTGGGTATTCAATTTTACAAATTCAGTTTTAGTCTGAGAAACAAAAAAATAATTAGTCATAGTTAGTAACAAGCGCAACTTAGATACTTATATACAGTAATATGCAGTCTAATTCCACATAACCCCATGTGCATGTCAATCAGACTTACTCAGACCAATGGCATCACTTAACATTTGGTTTGGGAAACAAATGATCCATTTCATATTGTTGATGAGTCAAATCTATCAGATAAATCATGATACTGAAATAAATGACACCTTGATCGATTGTGTTTATACTTCCAATGTAAAGAGCTATACATATTGAAATAGCGCCCTTAGTGGTAAAGGTACAATGTAATATTGTTTCTAAGATTTAAAGCTCAAACTGATTTAGAATATTGTTGATGATCAAATTGTCGTCAGTTCCCAAAAGTTTCTGGGGGAAACAAAGATGTAAAGCAGTTGATTATGTTCCTGCGATAAATCTTAAAATGTCAAAAAATATTTGAAATTAAAAACATTCTGATCATCACAAAATGATAATATGGTAGATGTATATTGTTTCTGTTTCATCTTTACAAATTTTGTTACATTTTATTTTTTGTTTTTCAATATTACATACTGTTCAATATGGGTCCCATGCAACATATAAATATATGTAAAATACATTGTTTACTTACACCTAATTTGCATACACGCTACACAACAACTGTAGTGCTATATTACAGAATAGTCATTCAAATTACCAAATCGTGATATAATTAACATTTCTAAAGCAAACATCAACTATCTAGCTTACATTTGCACTTGATTTCTTCTTTTGTTTGATTCCTGCTTTAGGGAAGTAATCATTCAGTCGCGCAATGATAATAGCATCAGAACAAGTACCATCATCGATGAGATGTACCATTACCTGCACAACAAATTATATACACATTGCATTCCATTTATTGTTATCCCTCTCATATACATATGTTCAATTCTGTCCTGATATCGTACTTACTGTTCCACTGACCTATGCAACCTACATGTAAATATTCGGAACAGTGGATACGATGACGGAAGAGAAGAGAAGCGATTTCTATGCTCATTTGTATTTAAGGTCTATTTTAGTCATATACATGTACATGTGTGTGTATATATTCAAATCTGAATATATGGATGCTATACAAGGCACTAGAGAATACAGAGAGAGGAAATCATTGAAATAGAAAGATGTTCCGTGCAACACTATACGCTAGTAAGGTAGTGCAAACACTAGTAAATTGGATAAAATGCTCCTGACAAGTGCAAAAAATAACATACATTTACTACCGGTAATCTGCATTTTATGCAGTGTACATATATATGTAAGATAACACGTATGTATAAAACACTGTCTATGTAGTATATACAGTACTCACCTTCATCTTAAGACCAATAATCATTTTTGTGAAGTGCCGAAAAGTAGAGATTTCTGGCACAGTGTCGTATATATGTTGGAGATGACCAATGAGTTTATCAAAATAATTTACATCCTCACGGCTTATAATGCTCCAGGCCACTGCTGCCAATAATCGAACTTGTGGAACGCTAAAGTCACTGAATGTGTGAGGAATATGTTTTGAAAATACTGAAACGGAAAAAAAGAAAATAGATGTGTATGATTTTATACTTTGCAGGAGACTTGCCTTATCAAAATCAACTAGAATGGAAGAATTTTTTTTTATTTAAACCAAAACAGTTTAAATCTTAAAAGTTGATTTAAATCTTAAATAAAGGATTACTTACTTAGCAATCATGTGACCATGTGAATTTGCATCTGATGCAACATTGATTTTTAATCAGTGTCAATTATAAGTTTTTATAAATATAGAGTTTGAAATGGTTTGAAACAATTCTTTTATGAAAACAAGTCATCTAAAGATGACACAGCCCCCACATGTCAGATGTGATTATAGTTGGCTATGAATTATAAAGTTTGAATGTGTATCTATAAAATCGGGTAGGAAGATTAAGTTGAAAATCAAAAGTATGTTACTCAAAGTTAACAGCTAGGACATCTCTATTAAATTTGGTAAAATTTGCATCAATTTTAACAAAAATTCACAATCAATTTAATATGGAAATTCAATTGAGTCAATATTAAATAGCAAATACATGAACTATTATATTAGTTCACAAGATATTAACAAAAATTCAAAATTAATTAAATATCCAAATTAGCTCATTATTTAAGTTGAAAGTCAATATTGCATAGCACACATCTTATATTGACAGATCAAGTAAATCTATACCAAGTTTGGTCTCATTCAGACAATTAGTTCACAGGATATTAAGAAAAATTCAAAATTAATTCACAAGATATTAACAAGAATTCAAATCAATAATTAAATATGCAAATGAGATCATTAATTGATTCCTTGAAAAAATAAATCAATGTACATCTGTACCAGTGGTCACTTTGTTTTTGTACCAAGTCTCAGCAAAATCGGTCCAGGCATCTCTGAGAAATGATGATGGACACATCCAAAAAACTGGATTTTGACATTCAAAATGGCCGCCAGGCAGCCATATTAGATAAAATCAGGAAATAAATCCATGCGCATATGTATACCTCCTCACTGAGTCTTTGTACCTAGTATCATTGAAATCAGTCAAGGCATCTCTGAGAAATATCAATGAACCGACAAAAGTCATGATTAACAATGAAAATGGCTGCTAGTCGGCCATATTTGATCATTTCAAAAAAGTAAAACAACGTGCATCTGTATGGGTGATCCCTTTGTCTTTGTAACAAGTCTCAACAAAATCGGTCCAGCCATCTCCGCGAAATCACTCTGGACAGACTGACAAAGGCGAAATTACAAGCCCCCTCCCGGACTTTGTCTGGGTGGGGGATAATAATTACTGGTAGTCTGAAATTTACTTCATGAAAACCTAAACTACATTTTGATTGCATAGTGTAACCAGCAATGAACAATACCCAACTTCTGCAATGATGAAACCTACACGCCCCATAAACAAAATAACACACTAATAATCATTTTTATTATAATGGAGTGTGACTGTTTTTTGATTGTGAAGATTATCTAAGAATATCGCTAATGCAAGTTAATATTAAAAAGATGTAATGTCATCAACAAAAGTCTCAATGTAGCTGTCAATTTTTAAACTATATCATAGCAGTAAATATTGTAAGCATACTGACACACAATCTAGCCATGCTTGAGGCCAGAGTAAGTAAGATACTAGTAGCCTGTGATAAGTGTGTTTCAATATTTGCTCTATTAATAATGACATATTTTATTAGCATTTATATTAGAGACATGCCTCTAATAGAGCAAATATGGTATTTAGAGATCAAAAAATACTGCAATGCGTTAAAGACCCAGGTATACGGGGATTATTTCCTTGCTAGTCATGCTGTAGTAAACAGCTCAAGCCAAGGTCAATAACGTCATGGCAAAGTGGAAGTATGTGACTATGAATATCACAGCAATGATTATATATAGTATTTATGATAATAAATAGTGTACAAGCTGAGATTTTGGAGGATGAAAATCAAAACATGTATTGGAGAAAAGGATGCTCAACTAATCTTGAATAATTAACTGCTGTCAGTTAATGTCAATGTCAAGTGACGTTGGGCCGCTGAACCAGTGTGTGTCATCTAATCAACATGTACACAGTTGTCATTAGCACACAGCGGTTTCAACGAAGACAATGAAAATCATGTTCGCAAATTTAACAAGCGACCTTGTGGTCAGTAGAGCTCTGCTGTAATTGACAAGTGCAGAGGACAGTGGCAGTTACTAGGTGGATAGGAGAAGTGGAATCTATGACAGTTTTGTAATTGTGGCAATGGTCACTGGAAGGGCATATCCTGCAAGAGGAAATGTATTTATGTGTGTAATGCATGGATACATGTATGTATAATTGATGTGGGTGTACAGGAAACTGAAGCTGACACATGAAGTTGTTGTCACTATTACCAGAATATATTTTTACATTATATGGTTACTGTACATGTAACTGAATTGAGAATGACCAAGTGACATGTGATCTTGAGATGACCTTGACTTTTCCTTGAAAGATCTTGATGGAGGGTCACCTGACTCCAAATACACATGCAATCAACATCTGACCTTGAGATGACCCTGACCTGGAGTCTTGAGATGACCCTGACATATAAACCTTGAAATGACCTTCACTATGCAGTTCATTTTCCAAGACTTCCAACTGATACAGTTGTCTACTTGAGTCCATGCATTATACATGGACCATATATAATGTATGGGAAAGTAAAAGTAAAAAATTCCCCAAAAAATAGTAACAAAAATCATGAGATATCTAAACCAAATGAACAAACCAGTTCATGTGTCTACATGACAGGCGGTTTCGAAGAAAAATTCAAAAATGTGCAAAAATGAGTAAAAAAAAAAAAACATTTATGCCAAATTTCCAAGCAATCAAGCGGTTGTGGAAAAAATTATTTTTAACCATAAATGACAAAAATATTCCCAAAACTTGGGTTTACATGTGATGTGATGTCATGAAATGAACAAATCTGACATGTAGGTATGGTATGTATAGCAAGGCAATTCAGCTGATGGTTTTGGAGAAAAGGTCATTTGAATGAAAAAAGTTGACGAACGACGTGCGACAGACAGGTGTGGTCACAACCCATGAGCTCTGCTTGGCCACCTTCAATGACAGCAGAGCTAAAAAGTCGCCACAGAGAGTACGAGCCATAAATACCACTAGTTGTTTTTAATGAAACAAGTCATGCATGGCACAGTCCCAGTTAGTTATCGAATTTAAGATATATAGTTTTGTTTATAGTAATATAAAATATAAAAATGTCAGGAATATGATTATGACGATTGTTTAACATTAAAATGATTGATATTTGTATCTGATCGTCAAACGAGTATTGAGAGATATTGCTCTGGAACAGCATTAATTAAAAGAAAATCAGCCATTTTGAATACATACATAAAAAATATATAAAACTTGAACATAATCAGTCAAAGCATGTCAGAGATATGGTACTAGAGCTGCATTCATTAATACAAAATGGCCACCAGTCGGCCATTTTGAATCCGATCTGAAAAATAAAATGACGTGCATCAGGAACCCATAATGTCTAGTGTATGCACCAAGTTTGAACAAAATCCATCCCTAAATGCCAGAAATGCTTGATATTTGGTGATTTTTTTAGCACAAAAATGGCCACCATTCAGCCATTTTGAATAAGATCGTCAAACCAATATATCTGTATATCTATGACAGAATTTATAATGAATATTTAAAATTTGAACATAATCAGTCAAAGTAAGTCAGAGATATGGCACTAGAACCACATTCATTAAAACAAAATGACTGCCAGTCGGCCATTTTGAATCTTACATGTATCTAAAAAACAAAATGATGTGCATCAAGGTCCTATAATGTCCAACTTATATACAAGGTTTGAACAAAATCTATCTATAAACAGCTGGGAAATGCTTGATTTTGATGATTTTTTAGCACAAAAATGGCCACCATTCGGCCATTTTTAATAGGATCGTCAAACCAATATATCTGTATATCTATGACATGATATATAATGAATATTTAAAATTTGAACATAATCAGTCAAAGCAAGTCAGAGATATGGCACTAGAACCAAATTCATTAAAACAAAATGGCCGCCAGTCAGCCATTTTTAATCTTATCTGAAAAACAAAACGATATGCATCAAGGTCCTATAGTGTGTAACGTATATACCAATTTCGAACAAAATCCATCTGTAAACAGCCGAAAAATGCTTGATTTTGATGATTTTTAGCACAAAAATGGCCGCCATTCGACCATCTTAAATCAGATCATGAAAAAAATTAATGTGCATATGTATAATATCATGTATGATGTATGTGTGAAGTTTGATTGTGATTGGTCCAGGCATTTCTAAAATACACGCACGCACGAACGCACCCACAGAGGTCAAAACATAAGTCCCCGTTTTCAGACTGCGTCCGAACAGGGACTAATAAGGCAGAGGGTTTTCAACCCACCAATTCACATAATTCATACCCACCATAGACTCTGGTCAGTCAAAATGACTATTTTGAATTAAAGGCATTAATCGGCAGTTCAGCCAATGACCGAGAGAGAAATCTAGGTTAGGGGATGCCTCATGAGCTCATAGATTTTCTTCCACGCCACATAACATGTGACCGAGGCAAAGAGGTCGGCGCCATCTTGCCTTGTCTTCACTCCCTTGTTTTCTCCATATACGAGGACTAAGCCAATTGCTACGGAAAGTGGGGTGGTTGGGAGGGACCCTAAGTTCAATTACCAACCATAAACTCTGGTCAGTCAAAATGACTATTTTGAACTGTATGCAGAGTCAGACGCGAGAAACTTGATTCGTATCTTTAGCACAGCTTGATAAAGGCGGCCCAACTGTCCGAGAAGGACAGGGCCCCTAACTCAGAGCGACACCTACCAGCGGTGCTGGTTCCAGTGGTTCGAAGGGTGGTTCGCTTACACAGGGTTCTCCCCAGGGCTTTTTAGCGCCGAGGTCCGCGGCGCTATACCTGTGAATCTCGGCGCTTCACTTGGGACCTCGGCGCTATGTGTTCCCAC